CATTAGCACTGTAAGAGCCACCGTGAGGGTGAGAATATGTTGTAAACAACCTCCAACTTGGCTGAAGTTTCCCTTTTTTACAGGAAAAATCTGGACTGGTGTGATATGAGGGGTGTGGCTGTTTCAAATCGCTGCTCATAAATGGGGGCAGTAGAGCAAACGAGTATCTGCATGTAATGCAGTAGTGTGCTAACAGGCCACCAAACTAAAAGCCTACTTTCAGAGCCTGTACCGAAAGTTAATAGCTAACTGACAGGGTGAGTTTTTCACTTGGCAAACTGTACAAACACTACAGTGTGTTTTCAGGTTATGTAAGGCCTTCAACAGCCTGTAGTTACAGTGTAGTTATATAAAGGGCAGTGGGTTGTGGAGTTATGCAGCCCAGTCCACAGTGCAGGGTTTTGAGTGTGGGTGTTGAACCTTTAGTTGTGACCTAGAGTGACGCATAACATGGTGTCCTCACACAACACTCTGTGGCTATTTTGGAGACCGTTGTGAAGTGTGTTATTGGAGCGTATGTACACACAAACACAAACAGCACTACTGCATGATAGCTGAGTGTTACTGGAGCTGCCAAGGCTGCTTAGTGGATTAGCGAGGAAGCCCATCATAACAGCAGATGTACCCACCAGACTTCCAGAAGGTTTATGGTGTTTTCTGTTGTGCTTTAGATTTTTACCACATGGATAAATCAAATTAAACAACGTAAAACAGCAATAATTAGCTTCATTTGCTTCACAGATTACATAAAACCAAATGAAAGAACACAGCTGGTGCTCAATTAAAGGTCATTTGTTTGGTGCAAAAAAGCTGTATGGTTAAGAAATATAAATAAACCGCATAAATAGCGAATTCATTAACTAAATACATTAACCACTGCCTGCTCACACATTCATTTGTGTTTTAGAGTTGTGTACAGATGTTAACAGAGCCGTTGTAGCTTTATAAATCTTAATTATAATGTTGATTATCTTCACTCGGCTCCAGTGTCTGCCCTGTCATCTGGTTACTCACGGTATCTTGTCGGCAGGTCAGCTGTGTTGTGTATGGAAAACCAGGGCAGTTATTTCCACCTCGGGATCTGCTGCCACCCAATGCCTCTATAATTAGTCTGGCAAGGCCAGCGAGGGTCTCAGTAGTCAGTCTATCTTGCTCTTGCGTAACTCCTAGGTGGGAGGGACAAAATAAACAACTGCACACAAGTCTGCCCCATTCGCATATTTGTATACAGTGGCGTTTGACCCAGAAACATGAAACAGCCTGCGGGAAATTTTTAGCACGGACTTGTTCTTGGCACTGAAAAGTCCAGGGCTATCTTGTCAAACAGACGTGCGGATTAGGTTTTTGCACTCATTGTGTATCCCTTTTAATACTTGTTTTCTCCCAAATAATACAGCTGCAGAGTGCGCAAGAGCTGAATGGCACAGAAATAAAGAAATGTAGTCTGCATCACCACATAATGCAATATTTTGCATATTATTTTTATTTGTTCATACCATCTGTGGATAGAGAAGTAAAATGAGTTAATAGCCGGAAAAGGATCAGGTATTATGTATTGGTTGAAATTCATTAAAATACCCTAAAGCACCTCTAATGCGTGTTTAAGCCTAATGGGCTATTAAAGTAATCTCATGGGAATTTGGCTTTCCCTCACGTAAAGTCTGTCCGTGATGTTTGAAGCACGCGTGTTTCATTTAGCACGAGTGTTGTTCACAACATTGTGTTTGACCTGCAGGATTGAGAGCTACTCCTGTAAGATGGCAGGCGATGACAAACACATGTTCAAGCAGTTCTGCCAGGAGGGGGAGCCACATGTCCTGGAAGCCCTCTCTCCCCCTCAGTCCACCAGCGCCACCAGCCCTTCACAGTGAGTACTGCAGTCCAGTGAGGATTTAAAAAAATGTTTTATCTGGACTATCAGGCACTAGGACATTTTTAATCCTGAGTTTGGAAGGACAATTAAGGGATTTTCCCTGTTTTTTTTGTCCAGGTTGGGGAAGAGCAGTGAGGACGGGGAAAACCCTCTGAGTGACAAGTGTTGCAGGAAGACTCTTTTCTACCTCATCACCACGCTCAACGAGTCCTTCAGGCCGGACTATGACTTCAGCGCGGCACGGGCTCACGAGTTCAGCCGGGAGCCCAGCCTCAACTGGGTCAGTACGCCTCTCTGAAGCAAAGAGTATGATTTCTTTGTCACAGATACATTTAACAACACAGTACACGACTTTGGTAAATAATTATTTGACTGACTCCTCTCCAGGTGGCTAACGCCGTGAACAGCAGCTTGTTCTCAGCCGTGGGAGAAGAGTTCAACTCTCTGGGTCCGGAGCTGTGGAACGCTATCGACCAAGAGATCACCCTGCAGAGCTGTGACATTTACAGGTATGTGTAGATCATTTAGACTGCAAAAAAATCCTTTTTGTGTCCAGTTTAGCCATTTTAAGCTTGATGTCCTTTTAATATTTGTTCTCAGCTACAACCCTGATCTGGACTCGGACCCTTTTGGTGAAGAGGGGAGCCTCTGGTCCTTCAACTACTTCTTCTACAACAAGAAACTCAAGAGGATTGTATTCCTCACGTGTCGCTCTGTCAGGTCAGCACAGAGCCATTATCATGTTTCATCACCGATGACTAAAATATGATAAATATACTATGTTCACATGGATAAACATGTGATGTGAACATTAAATAAATACTACCTTCAAATACATGTACAGAAATGTTGGTAATACTCATCTATAGGTAAGAAAGGACTAATCCAACAACAACTGTGCTTAATCTGATCGTGTTGTCAATCTTTCTGCAGCGTAATGAGTGGTTACGGCCGTGATTGTCTTGACAACGAGCTGGACATGGAGTTGGACGACGAGGAGGAAATGGATGGCTTCACTGAGGACAGGTTAGACGATTCTCATCCTGAGCTTTTCCTTCATTTACAACTTTAAAGTGACGACGGATGGGACTAATGGGACGGAGGTGTTTTGCTGGTGTTATGACAGATTTCTTGTGCTGAGGCAGTTATTTTGTGATACACATTTTAAGAAGTTACATTGAAAGCATTAGCATTTGTTTTTCTTTTCTTCTCCCAGGTTCCCCAGAGCTCTGTGTGTGTGAATATCCCAGATGAACACGCCTCGGCCAAAGAATATCTACGTTTCCTCCTCCTCCTGCCATTTTTCGCCTTGTGCACCTTCTTGTTTTTCTTTTTTTTGCTGACTCATTCAAAGTCATTTCCACACATTAAAGGAAGGCAGTGAACTGTGTACCATGACACGGTGGACGTTTTGTTGACCCCGTGGTAACTTTTAAGCGCCTTCATTCTCCTGTATGGTTTTGACCCTAAACAGCACATACAGACGTGAGACGGGCTTCTCTACACCTGCCGCATTTCCAGAAGAGACCACTTCACGCTGGACGCTTGAGAAAGAAGGTCATGTTATGGATGAGTGGCCGACAAAGACTGTGAGCGAGATGAGTTTCTTGCAAATGATGTCAAAAAGTCCAGGAAACACCAGCATCAATGAAAACTCACACAGATTAAGATTTCTGAAAGGGGGGGAGATCCAGTTAAGACTGACTGATCAGCCGAGAACTCATCTGTTGTTCATTGTTTGCTATTTTCATGTGTTGCTTCTTATGTGCGACAGTGGCGTTACTGTGAGAATGTTTTCAGCACTGAGTTTGAAATCTTAAAACACATTTATAACAAACTTGTATTATTGAATCTGAACGCTCGTCTGTACTTTAGACAGTTTATAGACAAACTTATAGGCTCCTGATTTGCAGCTTGGAAAACATACCAGGTTTTAACTGATATTTTGTTTTTGTTGCAGTTCACTTTCTTCCACGATTCATTTTATACGTCATCTAAATCCCATATTTTTCACTGTTCCCCCCCCTCACATATTCCTAGTTAACCCCCAATTCTAAATGTCTGTCTTGCCAGTGTGTTTTTAATTTTTTTTTTGCTCATTACCTCAGTGCAAAGGCTTCATTGAAAAGTGAATGTATAGGACAATTTAGAGAGAAAAGACATTTCTGTATAATGGCTTTAAATTACTTTTTAGAAATTGAGAAGCTCCTCTTTACGTTCCTTGCAGGTAGGAGTTCTGTGACTTTTCTTGACTGCTCTGTGCTTCGTTTAATTGGCCGATATGTTGCAGATGTGAATAAACTGGTGTTTGAGTCATATTTAGCTTGGTTGTTCTCTTTAAAAAAAAAAAAAAAAACATAAAAATAATCATTAAAGGATCCTCTTGCAGTGTAGCTCATGTGAACTCCTGGATATTAAATGTTCTTTTTACAATTCAGTTACAATTTTCTGCAGTGGTCCCAGTAATATTTGATACTGAAGCAGGTCACGTGACCTGGTTACACTGAGCTAATCAAATACAGAAACTGAATATTCTGCTGAGGAAAACGTTTATGTAGATCTCCTGTTTTTAAAGAACTTAAAAATATATTTTAGATAATCCCTCACACTTTCACAAGACAGCTTATCATTTAATGTATTTTATTTTTACTTACCAATTCAAATTATTTGCTTTTATCGGTACATGTGGAAGTCGTGTTCAGATGTAGGTATTGTAATGTCTGCTTGAACTTGTTCAATTAACTGATTAGAAAAATTTAAACTTTACACCTCTGACATGTAAAGAAAAAAACAAACACACTGGCCTTTACAGGAGGCGTTCAGTCACATTTAGAGGCGCAGAGCAGCGTTCTTATGTATATATAAATACACAATATAATTATATTAAATTAACTTGGAGCAGGTTAAACAATTGTTACTTGAGTCCCGCCCACTGTGCTGCAGAACAGCCAATCAGGCTTCTTTCCAGCGCACTGTGCTGATTACGACACAGTGTCAACGTAACAAATGACAGAAATCCTCAAAATAAAACAAATAATGTACGGGACCTAACCTGACAGACACTTCTTTCTGGTAGCAGAACTCCTGTTACTCCATTTATTTCAAGTAAAAAACACAAAAGGTAAAACTCAGTTCAAAACTTTTTTTTATTGAAAACAAAACTGACATACAGTACATGACCCAGACTAGACGCCACCACACAGAGTACATGATCGGTTCCTTTGCTTTGTGAGGTCAAGGTAAAAAGCTGTAAACCTTAATGCTGCAGAGTCTGGGGGCTGTACATCACCCTTCTTCCTATCAAGTGTAAAAAATACCTTGTCCCACAACAAACCCCCCCACTATATTCTTGAGACCAAGATGCACATCCCCTTTTTTGGCCACTGTGAAACTTCGCACGTGCATAGATCTGTTACCAAGTTCACATACTTCTTCCTTGGGTCAGAGGGGAAACTCATAAGCAGACTGTCAGAGTCACACACGGCCCTCCAGACACTCACAGCAGCATGGTTAAGGCTGAGGATCAAGTATTTTAACTATACAATGGCCAAAATCTTGATGCTACTAAAGTGGTGAGTAACGACTTCCGATAAATGTGTGTGGCACATTTTTTACGGTGGCATTATCTGATCCCTTTGTTTTTTAAAAAGTACAAAATGTTTAAAGAGAAATATGCACCCCCACAAAAAAAAAACAAAAAAAAAACACAGCTGCAGAAAATGAACAAGCCGTTTTATAGGAGGATGCAGTGGATCAGTCACACACCTGCAGAGCACCAACGATATAAAACCGGTCTATGCTAACTCACCACGAGCAAACCTGCACTCCTTTGCAATGAAAATAAGCAATGATAAGCAAAAAATTAAATAAAAATCATAATGCATCAGTGACAAAAACAAAAAAAGCAGTCATTCAATTCAAAATACTGTTAAAAGTGAGCTTTGTACCTGCATGATTCTGCATTTCTTAATGCTTTGCTAAAGTAAATAAAAGGCTGAAGTATTTTCCGTTTTATTCCAGAAAGGTCAAGTTTATGAAAAGGTTTGCACGCCAACACGCTGAATCTACACCATTTGGCTCAGTTACATACAAGTACAGGCTCAACGTTAATAATAATAATGATAATAATAATAATAATAAGCGAGGCTAATGTTTGACCGCGTTTTCATACGGCACCGATAAGTTGTAGTGTGAGAAAAACCACCGACAATGTAGCTTATGAAACTGAAATCATGTGTAACATATCAATGTCTGTGCTAAGAATGAGAAAACAAAACAACTTAGTGTCATCCCCCCCAGGACTGGGTTTACAATGCTGCCTGTAATTCCTTTTTTTTGTCCCATTTAACCCGAACAAACTTCTCTATAATAGAGCTGCACCAGCTTTCCCCCAACGTGATGTTCATGATATGGTGTGATGTTCATGATATGTACGTGTTGTAAGTGATGAGCGTCTGCACTTGAACGTACTCTTAGCTTGAGTCCTGCTGAATATTCCTTTATTCTCCTCCTTCACTGTAAAAGCGACGTCTCGTTCCACAACCAGGTGAGTTCATTGTTTCTAGTCACGTCGCTGCCGACGCCAGCGCTGCTGTAACAATGAAGCTGTGGGAGGTGGCGATGCCGCCCGTCGTCTCCAGAGGTCTAAGTCCGTTAAAATTCATCATTAAAAAAATAAAAAGTAACAATAAGCCAGTAAGGACAAGCTGTTGTGCCACCATTCGGGTGGTGCAGGTAGTCAGGCCATCCGTGGCAGATGATGGGGCTATCTGAGTCCAGCCCTCGAGGTCATCCACTCAAGGCCTTGGCATAAACTGGAGAAACAATGGAGACGTGTCAGTGAAGGTATATTTCACGGATGGCTGCAAACATAATATACTAGTGATGGTAGACTTTATGAAGCTTCAAGGCTTTAAATGCAGCACGCACAGTGACACCTGGTGGTTTGCAGGACTCACAGCAGCCCTTCAGTACTTGTTTAAATATTACATCCATGTAATTAAAAGTCCAAACAGCCTACGTGTTATTTAACTATTACACTTGTGTTCAGAAGTGGGGCAGTAAAATGCACACAGTATTGTATTACAATGTTTTTGTTGACACCAAATATAATGTGCAGAAGGTGCAATATTTATTAGGCAAAATGTCCTTTTAAATTGAATATTGTCATCCTGGCCTACACATCATATTCTACAGACTCATTATTTGATACGGATCTCTGCAAAAATCACACCATAATAAATCATTTAAATGTTTTTCAGTGTAATGAGAATAATTATGTTAAAATTACCTTCTTCTTCTTCTTATCTTACACATCCCTTAAACCTATCATTTAGCTGTAAAACTACTAAAAAATTTGACACAAACAACTTATTGTGAAACAAACTGAAGCTTGCACAACAAAGAAGTACTTGCTGAACTGCTGCCACTCACTACACAGTGACAAAACATCTGTACACGTCTTTAAATAAATAAACCTGTCTTAGTTTTTTCTTGTACAGGAAACATGTCATTGATTGTACTCTACATCCTTAACAAGATCAGTTCAACACGACTCTAGGTCTGTGTGGTTGGGATCTTGACTGAATTTCTAATGTCTAATCCCTGAATTAATTAAATCCGTCACTCCGTGTGTCCACTGCTGTGTGCCATGGCCAACATAAATCTCTTACCCCTCTCCTGTAAGTGCACAGCAGGACTGTATGTGCCAGGGGTGGTCTTTGATGGAGCTCAGGGTGAGGTATTTGGAGATCTCCGCTGCAGACATACAGTCCTTCATATCCTGCTTATTGGCAAATATCAACACAGCTGCTTTCCGCAGGTCCTGAGGGGAGGCAAAGGAGAGAACAAAGAGACCAACTATACTCTGTATAGTTCTGTATAGTCTGCTTCCTTATGGCCATACCAAGTCGTGTTTAGATCTTACCTCATGCGCCAACATCCTGTAGAGCTCCTCTTTCGAGATGGCCAGCCTCTCTCGGTCTGTGCTGTCCACCACCAAAATGATGAACTGCAGAGTCGTGAGGCAGAAGCCACACAAGAGTGAGCGAACTCTTTTCAAAAAGACATTTACAGCACAGAAATGCAACACAGCGGGTGGGCATTTCCAGGCCAAGAGCCTCACAATGAGCAATGGTGACCGCTATGCTAATGAGCCCTTTGTGAATGAGAGAGTGACCCTGTATGACAAAAGACCAAAGGCACATTGGCTTGGGTGATATGTGAGAGACGGCATTTAGACCAAACGACACAGGAAGAAAGCTTCAACAATACACGTTATCCAACACGACTGTGACCCAGATCACAGCCGGGCATCCACAGGGTCTGACACCACGCTTCAATGAAAGGGTGAAGTTAATAAAGGAACTGTAGGGTTACTGCGTATATATGATTCCTGTAGTACCCTAGGGCTCCTAGTAACTCTGTTGAAACAGACATTCTGGGCGTCAAGCCTTCTCTGCCTTAAATATAGGTATTTTTTAATAATTTTCTGTCACTTTATGGACAAAAAACGAATCAATTAATCGTGAGAATGATTGACAGATCTATCGATAATGAGATTAAGTGTTAGTTGCAGGCCTAGTCTCAACAACAGTCCAAAACCCATAAAAAGGTTTCAATTTACTGCCACATATGACAAAGAACAGCATCCTCATATATGAGGAGCTGAAAACATAGACTAGCCTTGGTGCTTGAAAAAGATTAAATTGATTATAAAAACAGTTGCTGATTAATTATCTATAAATTGACTAACCATTGGAGCTCACAATTTCAAATAGCTCCTTCTGTCCGACCAACAGTCAACCCCCTGCAGATATTCAGTTTACTGCCACGTAAGACTGAAAGCAGCAAATCCTCACATGTGAGGAGCTGGAACTAGAGAAAGAATTAATTTTATCTATGAATATTTATGAATCAAATAATTTCACCTCTAAAACATGACGGTGCTCTTTAACAGAGACGTGTGCGAGAGAAACAGTTGAGGAGTCAGTTCCCATGTCAATTTATTTACTTGTTTTGCAGTCTGAATGGCCAGATGTTCATGTACAAGTGAGAAAGAGGTACGGGTAGTGAAAGTATGTTGCCTGTGAAGCTACAGTTAAACCGTCTGGCAGCTGTTGGGACAGCTCTCTTTAAAGGTCTCCCCCACATCTGCGTCTCCCACGACTCGCCCAGTTCTTCTCCCTCCCTTTTCTCCAGAGCACTGCGGAGGTTGACCCTCGCTTTGCTTTTCAGATGGGCCCCCTTGTGAAAAGGTGACCTCTGACTTGGGCGGCCCATGCTGCCGTCTGTGCTCTGAACAAACACAGCAGCTGCCACGCTCAGAAGAAAACCTGCTGCTGGACAATACCTCTGTCCCCCACGCCTGCTAGAAAGTAGTACAATGGTGTATTTCTCACCTCTGTATTAGAGTAGTAGGTGTTCCACGAGGACCTGAGAGACTCCTGCCCTCCTATATCCCACATCAGAAAGTGGGTGTTCTTCACCACTATTTCTTCCACGTTGCTTCCGATAGTGGGCGACGTGTGGACAACCTCGCTCATCAGACTTGAAACAGAATCGTAAAGTCAGTTTGTGAAAGTTCAGATATAAGAAGGATCCAACTGTATCCAAAAAACTACTTACAATTGGTAGAGTATAGTGGTTTTCCCTGCATTATCTAGTCCAACGATGATCACTTTGTGCTCTGCAAAACAAACAGTGTATTAACTATGGGATTTCAAGGATGTGCGAAAAAAATATTTTCAAGGAGGACAATATTATTAAGAAAACACTAAAAACAATAAGTGGCACTGAGTATGCCATCAAGTATATACGGGTTCAGTCTATACAGTGCATTCCCGTCTGTTCATAATCATTAAGGCTGAACTTATTTCCTTCCTTAAAACTCCCTGGCCTCCTTTTTCTGAGAGTCGCTGAAACTAGAGTCACATTCATAAGGAAGAAAAAGCAGCTAATAACAGCAAAGGGTTTGACAGTGGACAAACATAACGGACTAAATGCAGAATCAGAGCTGACACCGATGTGCCAAAATATCCCACTTTAGTGTCTTGACTTTTCCGCCCTTCTGAGGCCTGTGGCTGCCAAGGAGGAAGGAAGTGCGGTCAGAGGGCTTGCAGTCCTGACCGTCTCTGTGAACCACACTGGGTGACGGAGGATGTTACATGTCTATTGCTTCCTAAGAGAGAAGCTACACCCTGCGACCCTCACAGTACAATGTCCCATCATGAAATCTGAATTTCAAATGATGTAAAATAAGATGAACATTTCTAAAACAGTAATGTAATTCTTTAGACTTGAGGTTTATAAGGCTAAATATTGTCAATATTAAACTGGCTGCAAGAAAGTATCTTTGACATTGATGTGTTGGTCTTCTACCACAAAATGAAGCCCTTTTTTTAAGCACAGTAAGACACCGCTTGTTTTTATGCAGCACAAGAAGCAGAAAAATATTTCACAACAGAATAAAGCAACACAAATAACATTAAGACACATTTAAAAGTGCAATCACACAACTGCCAGTACCAGTACTTCTATTCTGATTACCTACTTACCAACCAGGAAATCTAATCTGACCGTGTTGATTACATGTAATCAGATAAATACCCTGTTGCTGACAATTTCAGACCTCACTGGTAATTTCTTTTAACAGTGAATGCAATCTGACACTGGGGACAGTTAGGAGCAAATGTAGAAGTGAAAACAAGTCTCAAAGGCCACAGTACTACACACACAGGCCAAATGGATTAAGATAAGAGGCATTCATATAAATATTTCACTATCAAATGACAATAACAACCATTACAGTAGTACATAACATGACATGCTCAAAAACTCTTTGTTCACATATTGGAATATACAAAAGAACCACCAACAAAAACACACCCTTACTATGTACCCTGCATCTTAAAACACACGAGTGAAACACATACAGGTAATCTGGGTTATTATGGTGAAAGTGTGGGATTATCCATGCTCTTTGTTGCCCTTTTCACTCTTTTTACATCTTCTGTTTTTATTCCACTTTCTGGACTGGAAAAAAAAAAAAAAAAAAAAAAAGGACCAGGATGAGAATATTTACAATAAACATCTTCCTAGAAAGGCAGGGGGAAGGGTTGTGTAATGTGATGTGTCCTGGAAAGTAAAGTTAAAGCAGATTAACAACTCGATGAAAACGCTGCTGATGGCTTACTGTGACTTAAGGTAATCATGTTAGTTGACAAACTCATAAACAGATTGACTAGAGTGGTTGACAAAGATGCAGGGCTTTTTAAATGTCTGTTACGCTGGTTAAACAAAGACATTTCAGAGTAAAGTCACGGACACATGCGGCTACATATTTCTGCCTCATCAGTTATAATCTTGCTGGTCACTTTTTGCTAACGGGCTAACGGTTATCCCCGGTTGAGCAGCTAGCGGGAGGTAATCACAAACAATCAGTCAGCGACACCTACCTTGGTTACAGAAGAAGCTCCACAGTTTGGCGAATATGAGTCCCATTGTTAAGGTTAATGTCCGTCCGTCAGTCAGTAGAGTGGGCACCGAGCTTCTCCACTCAAGTCCGCACCGTTCAGTCCGTGGCTTGCTGCGGCTAGCTCACATTAGCTTAGGATGGTCTCTTGTCCGCAAAACACCTCGCCGACCTTTTCAACGCGGACTCCATGCGCCTCGGTTACATGTAAAAACGTAGCTATCGTGGGGATGAAATTGTGTAAGGTAACATGGATGAGGTGGCTTATTATGGAGCGTCTCAGGTGTCGTTAAAGCCTCCGCTAATCGTATAAACACAGGCTGAGAAGTGGCGGCGCTGAGTCGGCTCCGCTCCGCACGGCTTCTTCTGCCAGTTAGCTGCTGGAGGTGGTCCGGTGAAAAAAGCGACCCCAGCTATTCAGTTATCTTCCGGTTACGTGATGACGTCAGGCGCAAGTCTTTTTCTGTTTTGAGAGCAGCTTTCAAACACATGTTTTAAAAGAAGGTCCAGTTAGGTGTAATCCTAAATAACTAAAACTAAAACTAACTAAATGTATGATGACCAAATACTATAACCACAAGTGTCGCTTTGCTAAATTCCCCCATCATGGGGTGCTCTTAAAACGTAGTTTTCTATATTTAACACATCTATAAGTAAAGTCAAAAGTACCCCTGTTTCTGTTTACTCATGTCGGGAAATGTTTTTTTGGTATCGTTTATAGCACTCTTTTCATTTATGTACGCTGACAAAATTACATTGTAATTGGCGACCTGATGTAAACTGGGATTGGCTCCAGCCCCCCGCGAGCCTGTACGCAGGATAAGCGGTTGACGATGGATGGATGGATGGAAAATTACATTGTACCTATTAATATGTTCTTTCTTCCCCTTCGAGAGTTTTGTACGTTATTTTGTCAGTAACATCTTTTTAAATTAATTCCATTTTTATTTTGATAATTTATTTAAATAATTTTATTTATTTATTTGCTTTTTATTTGTCTTGTCAACATGACCTTCAGCTATTTGTGTCACTACTGCTCTTAAAACGGTTGTTTAAAAGTACTCAGGACTGTATGACACATTCTTGGTATTAGATGTGATTAATTTTTGACAGGAAACATAGTCTGGTTTGTACAATAGTAAAGATCACCATAGTGATCTTTTTTTAAACAAACAAATAAAGTTTGTTTATCACTATGGTAAGTACACACCTCAAACATATATAAATTGTGAAGTTATATAAACTATAATTTTTGTGTCTTTTTTAATACTTTATTTGATACTTTATACTTTAAAACTTATTGTACAGCTAAATTATATCTTTAATCTTAGTTTCTTGAGATGTTTGTTTTTATTTTAAATGCACAGAAATTAGTTTTGACAGAAACACTTTATTTGAAGTCCGCCTATTTTGCATGTATGTGCAGTAGATAGACATGTAATAAACAGGTAATGTAGTTGTAAAGTGAAAAAGTGTTTATTAATGTATTTGTGTACCTCTAACTCCTACTGTGTAATAATAAATGTATAAACAGTATAAACAGTAATAATATAAAATATGTTTTTATAGGAGAAGTTATAATTGTTGACAGATGTGTGTGGGACATGTTCAACTGACCCTTAAGCTTAAACTTCCCACTTTGTTTATCTAAAGACACACGTGATACAGGTGTTTGTGATCAGCAGGCCTCAATTTATGAATTCAGCTGGTGTCATGTGATCAAGATAGTGACGTATACGGAAGTAGTAGTACAGCATCCATGCCCAGGCACATAACAACGTGAGTACTCCGAGAGACTGTTAAAATGGACTTTATATCGCTATCACACTTAAAATAGACTATTAATTCAACTGGTCACATATTGATCACGAGTGTAAGAAGCAGGTGTGTTGAGCAGGAGTCGCTACGCGCATTCATTTATAAATACGAGCCGTGCTTAACGTAAAGTTGGTCTATTATTCGATATTAGTCCATGTTGGCAGGAGGAACATCATCAGGTCATTATGACAAATGGATTGTTTTATTAAATATCGCATGTTTGTTACATTTTATTCAGATTGTGCCATTAATAGATGGACGACGTCGAGAAGGATTAACAGAAACTATCATCAGGATCAGAAATTGTTTTTAATTGCATCTGTTAAATTTCTACTCTACTAAATTTAAATCTTAATATTATTTATTTTGGTTTTCTTGTACTGTTATTACTGACAGATTGATTATTTAATGTTTATTTGTAAAGGAATAAGCATTAACCAATAATGCCACATACCTCTTATAGCCTAAGCTAATTTGCAGTGTCCATCCCTAGAGGGGCCTTTAAAGATACTTTAATATGCACAAACTCATCAAGATTATACATACAAAACAGAGCAGGACACACACGCTTTAAAAAAAAATTAATATAACTTTACAATAAGACTTCCTCACTTTGAGTTCTAGGGTCAAAGTATTATGTAGTAATAGTAGTATTATGTGTGAGAATATAAGCAAGTCCTAATGCCTGTCAGCCTTTTCCAATCAACACCAGAGGCTTTCAGACTCAGATCTGAGTAACACTCTCCTCCTGCAGCTCATCAATCATGACTTGTTTGCTTATTGATTGGATACTTTTCACCCACACAGACTGCAGAAATGTCTATTTTACCAAGAATTTCCCTGAAGCCTGAAGTGGCAGATTTCCTCAGGAGTGTCTTCATGAACAAAGAGGTAGGGATTTATTTGCTCTTCTTCTGGAGAATCATAAATACATCTGATGAAAATAAATGTCTTCCTTTCTTCAGGTGCTGACTGCCGTCGGCCATCAGGAGGCAGAGTGTCGTTTTCAGAAGCTGCTCGCGTGCCTGTCTCACCCTCCTTCGTATACGTGTGTTCGGGCCAGCACTCACCTAGCTCCCCTGGAAGAGATCAAACACAAGTTAGCAGAGGAGCTGAAAAAGGTGAGTCTCTGTGAGGGAAAGTGACATGTTTTGAGGTTCTTGTTGCTGCGTGTCAGTCGAGTTCTTCACATTCAGTGTGTTGTTGTCGCTGAAGCAGCAGCAGATGTGCAGCTCATCAGCAGAGGAGGTCTCCCTTCAGATTCTCCCTCACCCGCGAATTCCAGATGTGCTGCTCCTTCCTGTCGACGGCCCGAGGTATGTGAGGAATGCTGTAACAACCTGCTCTGCTGAGGACACACTTAGCCTTAAATTGCAGTATCAGTCCGACCACTGGGCGAGTGTTTCCTGAAGCCAAACCCACATGGAATTTCATGGAAGGACGACAGAAAAAGCAGACACGTTTACCAAAGCCAGTAGTGCACACATTTCTTTAGGTGCGCATTCAAAATACAATAACAGCACAAAAAAACATCCTTTGTTGTGTTCTATTTTGGGTGTGTAAGTACATAGTTGTATGTTTGCATATGACCACCTCCCCTTTGTTTTATTTTGAACACACAGAAGCACAATCTGATACAATCAAACAAAGGAAATGGTTTTTAAAAAAGCTTGTGAATAATTGTCCATGCATGATAAGATATGCTGTATCTCCGGTAGTCAGATCTAACTGTAGTCTGCCGCAGTCCAAGGATGTCCTACGAAACTGATTTAGACATGTGCGACTTCCCTTTCTCTTGTGTTCTCAGAGCTGTGAAGCGGCTCACCTCAGAGGTGGTGGTCGGTGCTCAGTGTGGCAGTGCTGTACTGAGAGGCGCTCATGTCTTCGTGCCGGGGATCGTTGCCAGCCCCAAGTGTAAGACTCAAAGACACACTTGTAAAGTGTTAAAATACGTGTTATTTCTTTTCTCCAAAGATTCTGTATTTGTGGATGTTTTTTTTAAAAAGTGCTTTTATTTTGTCGATTGTGGTTTTTCTAACATGAAATCACTGTTGTTAGACATGAAGGCTGGCGATGTGGTGTCCGTTTTTGCTGACTTGGAGGGTAAGTGCACCCGAGGAGCCACGAGCTTCCAGGGACAGAGTGTGTTTGTGGGAAATGGAGTCGCTCAGCTGGACCGCTCCAGCATCTTCTGCACAAATGAACCTGCCAAGTAAGTAGACTTTGTTTCAAATGCAAATGATGCCAAAAGTGAATATCTGGTCAGTGTGTAGTCCAGACTGTCCTTCATTAAGGCTAAATCATCGAAATATTATCGAAATCGCAATATGGCCAAGTGCAAAATCTTAAGTCGCAGGAGCTGCAATTTTTTGATAAAGGGAAACCTTTTTTTATAAATATATAAATAAAGCAGTGTGGTGCTACAGAGACGCCCCAGCCTACAAAACATCTTCCCCAGATGTAAGCGAACCAGCTTGTTTGGTAAAACCCCAACAAAAAACAAATTGCCATCATATTTATATTTTTTTCAGTGAAAATGAAAACACATCAGTCCCACTAAAATCACAGCTCATATCACAGTTTCTGTCAAAAAATATACATTTATTTGCCCATCATCCAGCCCTAGTGTGATATGGATAGTGTGACAGATTGAGAAGGATAATGTAAATACTATGGCTGACCCCGAATAGTCGAAGATTCGATGCTTCGATGGCCGGAGCCTGATTCGACTGTCAATCTCACAGTGGAAGCTTTACAACAACACAAGGATCATGCCATTTTGCGATATGGGGAAGCTCAATGTGTGATTTTACAGAGAACTACCAGTTTTCTCCCAATAAGTTAATATACAGACTATTACAATAGAGAGGGAGAGGGAGAGAGGGATAAACAATAAGCCTCAGTTTAGCTTAGGCTCGCAATGGCCGTGCACAAAAACACACATGATTCGACTATAGGCAGGACTTGATGATTCTGATTCGACTCTGTAAATCCTTAGTCGGGGACAGCTCTAGTAAATACCTACACTAAAAACACAAACAAGTGAGGATCGGCCGCCCACCAGTCTTCCTCAGGTCAAACGATCATAGTGATTGTGTGGTTTAAAACTCAAAAAGGAAAATGATTCTGTCGCTATTGTCTGTTATTTTAGAGGAATAGGTGTTCGGATGGTGGAGCCACTTTACCAGAGTCCTTCCTTCGATGGCGTTCTACCCAGCCTGGCATTCCTACAGGTGTTTATGTGCACTTTTCTTATCTATTAGTGTCAGAATGATGAATTGAGTCAAGTATAAATTGGGTCTGTAGAGCAGAGGGATTCACTTGCACACTATTCTGCTTCTTGCAATCCGTTGTTGTGGAACACTAAAATGATTTTCGTGTCGTGCAGAACCTTCCCTCTGTAGTCGTGGGGCACGTGCTCGGGCCTCGTCCTGGAGAACGCATCTTGGATATGTGCGCTGCGCCCGGGGGGAAGACCTGCCACATCGCTGCGCTCATGGGGGATCAGGTACAAGTTCCGCAGAGCTGATAAACAGTTGGCTGCAGGTGTTAGCTGCTCGAGGGATCCCAGTTAATATTCATGGGTTCAAGAAAGAATTCAGTCTACAAAATACACATTAATATACAGCATGATTAAGAGCAGTAGTTCCCACAAACAGGGTTTGGGAACAAGTGTTTATTAATGTATTTGTCAATTGTAACCCCTGTGGTACATCCAAGGGGTAACTACACATTAAACGGGATAGCAGAGAATCAAAAACATATTTCTTTAAACATCTCTCTAATATATCATTTTTGTCTTGTAAAATACTGGATAGTTTTACCCTTTCAGGCTCCAAAAAGTCATTCAAATTAAACTATTAAAGAAATGGAAATATTAAACTATGTGACGAGGGGTAATACGTAGATATCGCTCGTTTCTCGGGGACACAAGCCAAAACGTTTGGAACCATTAATCTAGAAAATGATTGTAATGCTAGCACTCCTGTGTGGACTTTGTTGTTTCTGTGTCCTACATGAAGACGTGTGCAGGCCCAACACGTGTTAAGTGTAATAAATCATATTAGTAGTTACAGGCATTCATTTAATTTTACAAAGAGGCAAAGGGTGGCGGGAAAATAACATTTTCTAAAGCTTCACTAGACTGGCTACAAGAACATGCTGCTCTCACGTTAATGAATCAGTGTAAAAGATTTTTACACTTTTTTTTACACTTTTACTTTGTTTTGTTGAGTAAGATTTTGAATGTAGTACTTTTACTTGTAATGAAGTACTTTTTACTTTGTTGTATTACTACTTTCATTTAAGTTAAGGATCTGAATACTGTGTTACTGATGCTTTACGCGCTTTATTAATGAATTTCTGTCTCGCCCCGTCTCACACAGGGTGAGGTTGTGGCTCTGGACAGGATCCGAAATAAGATTGATCGAATTCGTCAAAATGCCCAAATGCTGCATTTGCGTTCCATCAAGGCGTTTTGTTTTAACAGCACTCAAGCTGTGAGCAGTGAGCCGGCACAGGAAGCTGCAGGTACAGAGCGACACATGTAGGTTTCTCCTATCAATATTTGTCAATGAGTAACCGCAAGACTTGGTATACTTGTGTTTCTGAACTCATTCCAGGACCTCCCTTCTCTCCTGAAAGTTTTGACCGGGTTCTGCTGGACGCTCCCTGTAGTGGACTCGGACAGAGACCCAACATGTGCTTGACCTGGAGCCTCAAGGAGATCTGTTCCTACCAGCCACTACAGCGCAAGTTATTCCACGCTGTAGGTTTTACCACACAGATCTGTAACATCCGTTCTGCTGTTTTTCCCCCCACGTCACATTGATTGTAATGAATTTTAACCAGTAGATGGCAGCATTGGGTTGTTATTATACTGCTGTGTGATTTTACAGCCTGAATTCACATCTTAAAGGGAAAATACACCTTAAACACAAAGTTTTTTTGAATGATTTAAATGATGTTGTACTACTGATAACTTTGATTTATACACTAGAATGTTTTCTATGGTTTTTACTTTCACTTGGGTTTAAATGAGCATCAGGAACAACAGCTTTCAGCTCTGACAGAAAGACCACTACTTCTACCTTTAGCACCAAATGTCATGCCTTTTAAACACATTAATGAAGTGTAAGAGTCAATGTGATATAGTCAGTATAAAACTTTTTAAAACCAAGTGGAGCTGCAGATTCAGGTGACTAATTCTCTGTAGGTTTGTGATGGACCCCAGCCGTAGTTTGCGCGCACACACACACACACACACACATTGTGTTACAGTTTGAAACAAAAAAGATCTGACATATATTTGCATTATGTGATTGCAGGCGGTGCGGTTGCTGAAGAAAGGCGGGGTTCTTGTGTACAGCACCTGCACAGTGACTCTGTCCGAGAATGAGGAGCAGGTAGCCTGGGCCCTCGATACCTTTCCTTGCCTCACGCTTCAGCCTCAGGTAAAAAAACAAAAAAAACAAACAAAAAAAAAGCACAGACTCACAGATATGTGGAGCGATGTTAGGAAAACCGCACCAAATCACGCTTTCTTTCCCATCTTTCTCAGGAGCCTCACATCGGCGCAGATGGCATGCTAGGAGCTGGCCTGTCACCTGAGCAGCTGCGCCTCCTCCAGAGGTTCAGTCCCGAGCTGAACTGGGACCAGACAGGAACAGCAGCCCCCCTCCCCTGTAGAGCTGACGGGGACACGATCGGCTTCTTCATTGCCAAGTTCCTGAAAGACTGACCCGAGGGCATGTTTTCTCTTTACAGCACCATCAGCTCTCACACGAGACTGCAGACGGGAACAATTGTGTTTATATTACCACACTCTGTGTGCTTTGACGGGCCAGTGTTGACAAAGAAGCTCACTGTGCTGTTTACAGCATCTGCCTTTTAACAGCTGCTCCCTAAACCTGCGGGCCATATAGGGATAAGCTTTATAAACACTGAGGGCAGGAGAGAGGGGAGTGCAGGGGAAAGAGAGAGAGGGAGGCAGGCACGTGGGGATGGAGAATGAACCAGTATGCAGCAGTGCTAGCGTCGCCATAACAACAGTGACGACACAGCTGCCATGCTGACAGCTGATTGGCTGGATCTCAGAGCTCAGATCAGGAAGTAGCATGCAGAAAGAGGTCATGAGAGGTATTAATAATTTATTGTGTTTCAGTAGTGGTGGAGGCAACCGGGACGTCTAATTAGTGCTTCTGCTGCTCGTGAGAGAGAAACGAGGCTGTCTAGTTCTGTCTGAATCAGTGTGAACGATAATACATACGTTTCATCATAAAAGTTCCTTAAATTAAAAAATAAATTAAAATGTTCATTTTATATGAAGCAGCACATTATCTGATTACACTGATGAAACGTTTTACAAATTACAACACTAATTTATTCAGTGCAAATTGAATTTAAGATGTAGTTTATAGATTCATGCCTACAGTGCACAAACACCTGGCTGGTTCTCCTGTCGTGCAGCATTTTAAAGGACCTTCACATTGACCTCAGCTCAATTCCTCTTTCTGGGAAATACCTTTAAACTCTTAATCAGTCCATCCACACATCTGCCTGGAAACACCACTTTCACCTTCCTGTTTCTGTGCATTAGACTGTATGCAGTGTTAAGACGGCTCATTAAATTGGCTGCTCTGCTCACTGAAGTGCACTGAAGTCTGTTTAACATTAAAACTGAAGCTAAACTAAAGCTGCATCTCTGTGTCTGTTTTGGCGGACGCTGTGTGTAGAGAAGCTGCTTGCTATTTTAGATGCATCCCCTCAGTATTGTCATTCATGTCGATGTTGTCATGACGACTAAGGAGTCAGGTCGGTGAGTCTACCTCAGTTTTTCAGTAGAGTTTCAGAAGACTATTTATAGCCACCGCTTTCCCTCCTCTGTCTGGGTCTTCTGACAAAGCACACATCAAATTCTTCTCCCCCCTCGGCAGTCCTTTGTTGCCAACTTTATTCTCTATATTTACGCATTATGTACATATACACATGTACACTGTTAGAAAACCTGTAATGCTACCAATGCAGCATAGAAATGGAGTAATTTTTATAATTACAATTGTCAGGCAAAAACAGAGTGAAGGGACAGGGTTTAGTGGGCTTGTAAACAGAGGGGCTCAATTCAGATCTTCAGTATCATGAATTAATGCATGATATCTGCGAAAATATGAGTCATTAAACACACAGCACAGGTGTTGGAGGCTCGTACACCATCGAACACCATCACTCTGCATTAAACGGACCCTGGTCATGGGAGTTAACAAAGGGCAAAAGACAGACAACATATCTTTGTCTCGTAAACATTTTGAATTGTTTCAGTTGGTTTTGCAAATGTTTTAATTTTTAGTGAGGAAGATCTCTTAAAATGAACATTTGTTATACTATGAAGTGGGACAACATTCATTAGAAAAGGGGTCAGACTTAATAAAAGATGGACCTTCATGGTGTTTTGGTAGTAGACCTACAGTAAGTTGAAATCTCATATCAAATTGCTTTCACTTAAAACCAGTGTGAATCTGTGAAAGTGCAGAATAAAGTGTGTATCAATGTTATAAAATGTCTCTGGACCCATACAAAGAACAGTACTGCATGTAAGAGAGGAAGGTATTGTAGAAGTCATTTGTCTTGTAAGGCAAGACTAAGGTGTGCCTCGAAGGAGGCATAAAACCAAATGTCTAAAACCATGGGCGCAGAGGTAAAAAAAGGAACTAAGCAATAAATGATGAACATAAAACTGAGGGAGTAGTCTGACACTTTGGGGAACACTCTTATTCACTTTCTTGCAGAGAGTTAAATTAATGTTGAATGTGAAACTACAGCTAGCGTGAGCAGCCGGTAAGCTAAAGTTAGCTAAAGTTCAGCCCCACTTTATATAAACCACAACTTGTAATTTTTAGACTTTGTATTTTTGTAATTTTGATTTAAAGTGTTAATTGGTGAGCTTTAGAGAGGCAGGTAGGTTAATTTTATTTAACCTTCCCACAGAGTCAGACTAACTGTTTCCAGTCTAAGCTAAGCTAACCGGCTGTTAGCTGTATCTGCATATTTACTTTACAAATATGAGTGTTACTGATTCTCTCATCTAGACTCAGTTGCCAGTTTATTAGGTACACCTAGCTAAAACTACAACAGTCTAACACAACAGTGAATCCTCCTGTTTAATTTATGTTTAACGAGGTGTTAACTTTATGGGTATTTTGGAGGCTGTTGATCTGAATTTTATTAATACTGGAAGGTGTTTCTGTTATTTGGACTATCCAAAATAAGGACAAAATAATAGAAACAACTGCCAGTATAACAGTATTAACAGCGGCACAAACTACAGCCTCCAAAATTATAAGTTAAGAAACTGGCATCATCTAGAGTCTAACTCTCAGCAAGACAGCAATTACGCACATTTCCTAAATTGCCAAACAGTTCTTCTAAAACAAAAGACCAGCAAATATAGTGTCAAACTAACTTGGTTAGTCAACCGTTGCAGTCAACCTTAGCAGTAGTCTGAAGGAACAAATTATTCAAGTGGTAGCAAGCAAAAATAAAAAAAAATAAAAATGCTAATCACAGAAAGCACAGCTCAGTACAGAAACAAATTCTGCTTTTGTGTCATGCTTTATCAAACACAGGTTTAAAATATGCATATTTAAGAATATTCATGCATATCCACACATAAACAACGTCTATGCATAGATACACACATACATATATTTATATATTTATATTTGTATCTATGTAATCAAAATCCTGCCGTTGAAAAAGATGCAACAGCATTTACAAAGGAAGTGTACATAAATAGGATGCTGTGGTTTCAGGGTATAGCAGCACGATGGGAGAACAGAATGGTCTTTAAGAGGGGCGTCCAGATGAGCTTCAGGAGGACTCTTTGGTCCGTCACTGGTGGATGTAGGAGTCTCTGGCCCATTCCCCTGCTTCACCCCTCTTTTTGGGAGCCACCTCCCCCTCTCTGTCCCTGTCTCTGTCCCGGTCGTAGTAGTGATGGTGGTGGTCACGCGCCGGCCGGTGGTGGTGAGAGCGCTGTTTGTTCCGCTCGTTATGGTCCTGTTCGCGCTCCTTTGAGCGGTGGTGTCCCGTACTGTGGCCGACCTCCTCCGCCCCACCGCGGTGGTGGTGGTGGTGGTGATGGTGGTTGTGGTCCCGGTGGGGCAGTGGCTCGTAACGCTGTTGCTGTTGGGGGTGCCCCTCCCCTAGATCCTCATCTTCATCCTCCTCCTCCTCCTCTTCTTCATCCTCCTCCTCTTCCTGATGGAGGAGCTGAGTGCGTGGCTCAATATAAGCAGAGTCCTTGCTTTCTCGGCTCTCTCTGCTCTCTCGGCTCTCGGGGGTCTCCGAGTCCATAGTCTCCTGCCGGGAGAGGCCCCGGGCTCGACTGCTGTGGTGGTGGTGATGGTGGTTGTGGTGCTCAGTCCTGGTGGAAGATGAACGGTGGTGGATGTGCTGGGCTCTCCTGGAGGCCTCTGTCCTCAGAGGCCTCTCCTCCTCATTGCCCTCCCCCTCAGCCTCTGCATCGGCGTCAGCCTGGTCCTGGTCCTGGCTCTGGTGGTGGTGGTGATGGTGATGATGGTGCTGGTGATCCTCTCTGGAGCCTTTTCTTTCCACCAATGCTTTATCTCCTTTCTGCTCTGCACTGCTGCCCTGTGGTCAGTAACACACGAGAGTGAGTAGGCTGACAGCAAACAAGGAAACGCACTGCAAACGCACACAAACACATGCAGATTAATATTCACTTCAGCCTTGTTGCTCATCTGAACTCACACGTGAATACACACACTGATCAAATATTCATCAACCATCCACCAACCACTGAAGGTTGATGAATCCCGGAGGAGGCAGATTTGAAAGAAATGTTCAAGGTATTTTCACCAGGACCAAGGCGGAGACACCTGATGTCTCAAAACGTTTATCTGAAGGCCTCTCCACACTCACCACACTAGCAACCACATGTCAGGCTCACTCCTGTTCCTCATCAATATCAGGGTTTTCCTCATTTTCAGTCTTACATTTCCCATTGTGATGGCAGTAGATGGAGAGAGGGTAGAGGTAAAACATTATACAGCATTTACACACTCAGATATGTGACATTAGCTGAAATCTATCCTGCATGACACGCTTAAAAAAAGACCAGTAAGAAATATAAATTAAATGCTTTTAAAATCAAGGTTTTCAGCTAATCTTTGTGTCGCCCTACTTCCTGTCTACCTCTGTATCTTCTTTAAGGGTTGGTCCCAACAGCGCCCCAGTTTTAAGCACTGTGTTCATGTGCCGCAAGGGAGAAGGAGTATAAAGTGTCCCGTTCATTAAAATTCCTAACCTAAAATTACACTTCACACACCAATCAAGTTGTTGACAGTAATGAGTCTATAATAAGGGTGTGATGAAACACTTAACCAATGAGATCGAGACGAGATTTTAACACTATTTTTAAGAAATCTTAAATGCTGAATTACATGAAATTTGTGAGCATAAAAAAGATAATTTCCTGCATTCTGATGAATTTTTCAGCATCAATTTATGGTGAAAATATTTATTAATATAATTATTTATAATTTATGTAAAGGGAAACAATGGAATAAAATGCAGCACGGCTCTCTGGCATTCTGTGTTGCTTTCAGGTATGTTTCTCCTGTAGACTAACTTTTCTCATAACATAACATCCCTGCTGAGTCAACACACATGCAGGAATGATTTAGTCTTCCCTCTTTTTTGTCTTTGTTTGGGGAAGTAACCTCTTTAAATGTGATTGCAGCACATTTTCACCTCAATGATAAATTAATTAATTTTAATTCAGTTAGAAACTCCAGGACTTTAATAGCTCCTGTGTTTCAGTAAGTTTTCTGCTCATGTCCGAAACGTTTTGCACATGACGACATGTCCACGTTTAAGTCTGCCTGTCCTATACTCTGCTGTGCATTACGTTACTGATCCGCGGGTACTTTCCTCTTCAGACCATTTGACCGACATGAGAGTGCGTGTTGCATGTGAAACCGAAATAACCTACAACACTTGTGATCAGGCAGAGATCTCACCACAAATCCACACACACGTTAACTTCAGCAGCTCCACTAAAGGGCAGCTCACAGTCCCAAACAGAGCAAGGCTGCTCTTCAGTTTTATATGTTTATATTGCAAAACTCTACTAGCTACGTTACCTCTCTGTCACAACTGGCTGCGACTCACAGCGTGAGAGGTTAACTCGATTACTAATAGAGCACGCCGGTGTCGCATCAGCTCCGTGAGTCAAAGTTATCAGTTATGCATTTGTTTTTCACTGCGTGAGAAAATTAACATGTAACTCAACAGCGTGTGAAAAATGTCAATTTTGTGAGTTGAGATATCGTCACACCCTATAAGCTATAATCTGAAATATTTTACAATTAACACAAAAATACAAAATGTAAACCATACTCTTACTCCTTTTTTAGTATTTTTACAATACTAAAGTATACTGGAGTATGATTTATTTATTGAGGGCCAACAATAGTCAACAGACAGAACAGACAGAAGTAAAAAAAAACGATTGATGAGACTGGTAAGAATAATACTGAATAATACTTACTAACATAAATATTAAGTATCGGATATATTGGAATAATTTTGAGAATTAAGTTCCTTTATAATAATATCACGTGACAAC